TTTACACACCAAGTTTAGAAGGTTATCGCTGCTGTCTGGCATTTGCATGGGCACTGTCCTGTTCAAAGCTGGCACTGGCTATGCGCACACACACTCAAATTCCACTGCTGTACTTTTTTAAATCAAGTCTTCCTGGTGTGAGGTGGAGATTCACTCACCTCTGACCCCTTCTCCATTGAGAGACTGAAGCATCACAAGAATGACCCCTGGCTTTAGGTTTTGCTCTTAGCAGCAGAATTCCATCTTTTAGAGGAGGCACAGGGGGGCCTCCCATTTGAGAAAAAAGTCCAAAGACACATCATATATTCCGTAGGAGCTCAGTGGGGATGCACTGTGCAGCTCCTCCTTAGCCCGCCCCCCAGGGCCACGCAGAGCTGCTTTCACAGCTAGGACTTTGTCCAGAACTCACAAGATGGACATCACAGAAAAGAAACATTCAGAACTTCGCAGCTTCAGTCGTTTGTTCAAGCTTAATTTTATTATTATTAATAATCAAGCATCTACTGCCGTCAATTTACCCGGCACTTAGAGACAGAGACAGGTTCCCTGCCCAGGAGGGCTCACAGTCTAAACAGTACAAGTTTAAAAGGGAAATAAGGGGGTTAAGTGAAGTAATTAAAAAAACAGACACCGAAGAACGGGCTAGTATACGCGTACTGGACAAAATCAGGAGTGTTCCTCCACCTACCACAGGCCCTAGGTTGCTAAATGCGAAGAGAGATTCTCCTTTTGCACATGTGGCAGGGCCCTGTGTTTCTGGAAGATCTGCGCTCTAGCCCTGCTGTCCTCGGGTGGGTCAGGATGGCCATGGTGTGCAGCAATTTGGCACAGGTGAAGCCTGAGGTGCTCCTGGATTAGTACACTTGGAAAAATGAATACACACACAGAGACCAACAAGAGACCTGATCACAACCCTCAGAGCCACTGGGAAATCAAAGAACTCACCAATGCTGGGAAAAATAAACTTCTCAACTAAAAATCCAACACACTATATTAAATACGAACTCCCAGCTGCACAAGGACTAAAACAGTCATAAACTGGTTTTAAAAAAAAATCTACTCAGGTTCATTGGGTTTAAACCCAGCTTGGCTCGGGAGTGCGGATGGGCCCAAATTGGGTTAGGTAGGGAGTGGGGAAAAGGCCCTGTAAATGGCTACAGTCCCCACTCCATGCTCCCATAATGGTTACTGTCCAAATTCAGCGCCCTTCTGGAGTTTGCCTTTATTTAAATGACCGAACAAGACCTTATGGCAGGACTGTACTGAAACAAAGACCTTAGCCCAGCCCTCAAAGTCAATCACCAGCCAATCTCTCTCCTGCGAAACTGTATTAAGGCTTCTCCCTGCAGGTCCCCCTTTAGCTCTCTCTTCCTTAAAGGCCCACAGCCTTTGATGTTCCCAAATGGAGCTAATGAGACCCACCCAGGTCTGACTGCCAGACTGAGTCAGTGGAACAGCTCTGCCCCTCCATGAGGGGCCACAGTCCTAACAACCAGACACCAGTTACAGGCCCAAACTGGAACCCAGGAGAGGACAATATAGTTTCTAACCCTGGATTAATATGATGTGACCAACTAAAACAGGTTTCAAACCACTTCAGGTAGCAGTTTTCGCCCCAGTGTAGCTGAGATCTAAACATTTAGACAATGTACCAAATAAATAAGTGTTACCAAGCTGTGTGAGTTTAACAGTCCCGGAGTATGGCAAGCCCTGATTCCCAAAACTGAGAGTAAAAGAACTGAGAGGAGAATAAGAGAAGCAGATACACCATGAGCTGCACAGAAAGGAAACAAACAAAATACTGTGCAGACAGGAAAAATACTGACCAGATAATAAATAAACAGAAATATTATGATACAGCTACCAGGAAAAAGAGGGCAATCAAGACAGTAATTCACTGCAATATGAAATTCAGCAAGCGTGAGTGTAGTGAAAGTACTGTCTCCTGCTAACAATTTGTTTTTCTATTCAATTGCATTGTTTGTGTCTTAAACAGAGGTATAAAAGGAAACCTTGCGAATGCGCTCTCGCCTGCAGATGTACTCATGTGCGATGAGTCTTGGACCAAATTCTGATCACAACTACTGCAGCATAAGTCTGGAATTACTCCAGAGTCTTCAGTGGGTTCCCCCAGATTTACAGTGTCATTTAGAAAGAATTTGGCCCAACTGACAGCACAGAGAAGTCAGTTTCAGTGCTCGAGAAGGAGTTGGATGGATAGTTGTAGGGAACTTGGCAGCTGCAGAGCAAACTTCCTCGGTCTGCCCTGTTCATATGCCTCATCACTGCCCTACCCCTAGCAACCAACTCCCATTCCCTGGCATCTGCCCAGAGACGGTCAGCAAGGGTATCACTCAGTGCCCCGGGTGCGTGTGTATACTTTTAGTAACCTGTAGACCGTTTGGGGCATGTACAACATGTGACTAACTTATGGAACTGACTGCTGCAGGATATCATCGAGGGGAGTAGCTTGCATATTGCCAATTCCAGACAAATAGCAGACATTCCCGAGAAACATATTTAGTTATCACTTCAATTAAGTGATTCAAGTCACTTGTTTTAAAACGTGGAGCATTTCACATTAAAAGTGAGCTACGAGATACCGCAACACATCACCACTCCAGCAAGAAGTCTGTGTGACCCCTACCCTACAGTGTGCATCCTTTGGCGATAAATTGTCTGCACCAACAAGCACATGGCGACAGTACAGGGCCAAAGCACTGAGTGGGCCCTGGGTGAGCTAGAAGAAGATGTTGTCTAGCAAAGCGTCTCTCATGTTCTGCACGTTTAGACGGTTCCTCTCGCGGGTGTGGATTTTTTGGTGTTGGAGCAGATGCTGCTTTTGCGTAAAGCTTTTTGTGCACTCAGTGCATTGGTAGGGTCTCTCCCCCGTGTGGATCCTCTGGTGTCGAATCAGATCCGAGGGGTGACTGAAGTTCTTCCCGCAGTACGTGCACATTAACGACCCTCCACTCCTTCCCGTGTGCATTCTCTGATGCGTGATGAGGCTTTTCTTCTGAGAGAAGCACTCCTGGCACTTATTACACTTATAGGGTCTCTCTCGCACGTGGCTTTTCTGGTGCTGCCTGTAAGGTGATTTGACGTTGAAGCTTTTCGTGCATTTAGTGGCACTGTACGGCTTGTCCGCTGTCTGGATTCTGGGGTGGGATTTCAGGTGGTGATTCTGTTTGAAGCTTTCCTCACACTCCACAGAGCTGTAAGTGGCCCCTCCAGGGTGGATTCTCTGGTGCATTGTCAAGTGCTGCTTGTACACAAAGCTTTTCTCACACGCTGCAGGATCGTAGCATCCCAGCTTCGTGTGACTTCTCTGGTGCATCGTGAGGCTCTTCTTCAGCCGAAAGCCTTTCCCACACTCAGCACACACGTGAGGTCTCTCCCCTGGGCAGCTTCGCCGGTAAAAAGTCACAGCGTTGCTTTCCCTGAAGCTTTCTTCCCCGGGCACTGACTCTACCGGCCTGTCCTTGACATGGTACCTTGGCTGCATTATTGAGCTGTCTGGACTATCCAAAGGCCTTCCCTCCCTGGGAATCCGGAACACAGTTTCTTCAGACAGTCCAGAGAACGTCCTTCGCAGCTGCAAGTGTTTGAGATGTTCCCCATGCTCCAGCACCTCAGTTTGGAACATGATTCCATTATCTGCTGGGATAAAACAAAAATAAAATACAGAAAATTTTATTTTGTCTGCTTGGGAATAAAGGAAACCTGTTAATCATTCCCCCGTCATTACAAACGCCCGTTACGGTCGGTTCTCCCAAGCAAACGAGCTAGAACAGTCCTGTGCAACAGTTTGTGTTTGCAGGAGGACAGGGTGAAAAGACAGATTCCAGCAGCGCTGAGCATCCGGCTCCCCTTGGAGACAATGAGCTCAACAGCAGTTTGTTTTCCTGTTTCAGACCTGGGAACACCAGACTGTTCCCAAGGCCACTGGAGAATCGGGGCGAAGCAGCTACATGTCCCCTCACAATCTAAGCTTTCATGTCTAAAGAGACAATGCATTTTACTGGCTGGAATTCCCCTCCAGTGCAGAAGACTCGCCCAACGCCCTTAAAGCCTTCACACAGCACTCTCGGCAGCTCCGCATCAGCTGTGCTTAGTATACAAATCAAACAGTGCATCCTCTGGCTACCAGCTCTGCAAACTCAGCCTGGGATCTGAGAGGCAAGCCGGGTTCTTCCTTATAGCACATCACCCCGAACCCCAAAGATTCTGCAGGCCGGCTCAGGTCTTTAGGGACGCCTTTACAACCTCCCTCGCCTTCAGTGGGCGTGCACAGGCGTAACGGACTATCCCTGTCACTGGAACCTAACGAACAATTCTGTTGATGATGCACGAGGAATCCAGCTCACTCCCTTTTAGGCTTTGAGTTGTAACCTGAACTTATTTTAGTCTCTCATGCCAGCAGACGTGAATGAGTAAACCTAGAGCCGGCTGAGTACGACGGGGTCATGTTCACACACAGCTACAGAGTAGGTCTGGGCTTTAAGAGATGCTGGGAGCCCTGGGGAGCCCTTCTGCACCGGGTGAATTTCACCCTTTGGGAAGTGGTGTCAAGGGTTTTGCTGGCCACACTGGATATAGATTTAAACCAGTTTTTTAAAATATCCTCCTAACATTGTCCCGGCTGTTGCTGAACTCCTCACTCTGGCCTGCAGCCCAGGGTCACTGTTCCCTGGCTCCTATATATGGCAGAGGACTCTGTCTGTCGTGCCTTTTCACAGCAACGCAGACCACAGTTCTGCCAAAAGCTCTTCCTACGACCTTGGGGCCAGAGAATCCAACCCCTCTTCCTCCGCCTCGGGGACAGCGGCTGTCGCCCGCATCAACCGAGTTACAGTAGCATCTAAACAAGAGACTTTATACAAACGGGAGAGAAGTAGAAACAGAGAGCAGCACTTAAACTTCACCTCGTCTAGCGGCGACTGTGGCTAGCCGCACTAGAGCAGGCTCGGAGACTTCGATAGAAAAGGGGGGAAATCGGTAGCTGTGGCTTTCCATGATAAAGCTCTCTCATAGCCTTGTCAGTCAGCACTGCTCGTCCTTACAGCCACTGTCTGTCCAGCGGGCTCTCAAAAACATGCCCCTTGCCTCTGTTCTCTCCCTCAGGTTCGGTGCTCCCTGGAGGAGGCCCTCCGTCCATCCTCACAACCCCCCGGCAGGGAGCCAGTCACACGCTCTTTAGAAGCCTCGGTTTGGGTTATTGTAGGTGTTGAGACCTCAGGAACATGAGACGTTCTCCACGTCACCACCACCGTCCCACAGCCATCGCCACATTACAGCATCTTTCACTAAGCTTCCTTTGCTCAAACTGTCTACGCTGCTGCTTCCTTCCCTATACAAATGGGTCAGCATCTTTCAGTCTTCAAAGGGAGTGGGCTCATTTCCAATGGCTCTTTGGATCCTGGGCACGCACCTTCCCCTTTGCTCCCTTGGGAGTATCTGTGCAGATGTCCTTCTCAGAAGAAGAAACATGAGCAGGCTAATCATTTCCCATGCCTGGGCAGGACGACCACTGTCTGTGCACAAGGATCCCGTCACGATGGGTCAGACCACACAGAAGGTTTCATCGTCAGGACATTTGCCACAGTTCTCCAGTCACCTCTCATCTCCAAGCTGGCTTCACAATCTTCCCAGAACCCTGACAGGCTAATCCTCCAGGGAGACCAGGCCACGCCATCTGGCCATTCCAATCTGAGCATTTCATTCCGACGGGCTTGGCTATGAACCTGTGATACGGACCACAACCCAGCCAAAGGGCAGTGCACGAAGAGCATCGATAAACAACAGCTATCGAGTCAGGGGGAGGAGTCCGACAGGGCAAAGCAGGGATCAGGCTTATTTTAGGTCTTTACTAATGACTGGGAGGAGGAGTAAATAGCGTATTAATGGGATTGACACAGGTTACTAAACTGGGCAGGTTACAACATCAAGAGGAACGACCAGGAGAAGATAACAAGGTGGGTAAGAGAACAAAAGGAAATTCAACCTGGAAAACACAATTAGCACATTGAGGGGGAACAACCTGGGAAAACGCATACTCAGAAAGTGGGAGGAACCTCAAAAACAGGAAGTGACCCATGGGGTGGGAACAGACTGTTCATTAGTTAAGAGCTTTTACGACAACGTTGGTGACAAAAAGAGCCAATGCAGTTCGGGGCAGCACAGAGACATCTCCCCACTGGGCAGAGGGCATCGTCCCTCTCTATACCGCTGTTGTGAGACTGTACTAGGGTTGCCAACTTTCTAATCAACAAAACCGAACACCCCTGACCCGCCCCTTCTCCGAGGTCCTGCCCCTACCCCACCCCTTTTAAGAGGCCCTGCCCACCACTCACTCCATTCCCCCTCCCGCCGTCGCTTGTTCTCCCTCACCCTCATTCACTTTCACTGGGCTGAGGGTTGGGGTGCAGGATGGGGTGAGGCCAGAAATGAGTGGTTCAGGGTGCAGGAGGGGGATCTGGGCTGGGTCAGTGGGTTGGGATGCAGGAGGGGGTCAATAAAAGATATTACCTCACCCGCCTTGTCTCTCTAAGACCCTGGGACCAACATGACTACAACACCACTGCATTCAGGGTTACTTCCTTAGTGTCTCTCCACACAGCTACTAGAAAAACTGGTGCAGGAGTGGGTGTGGGGTGCACGCTCCGGGAGGGGGCTCAGGG